TTCGACGACGATGTTTTTAAACCGCTTTATTTTCGACGACGATATTTTGTACCACGATGTTTTAGACCTGCGATGTTTTCTCTTTGCGATGTTTTCTCCCACGATGTTTTGTAGCACGACGTTTTCGCCTTGCGTTGTTTTCTCCGCGATGTTTTCGTCCGCGATTTTTTTGCCGCGATGTTATCGACTGTAACCGCATAAATGTATGTGTTTCTCGCATTGTGATAAAGCAACGGTACCTAGAGCCACCAAATTTTGAATAACGTACGTCTTCACTCAAATATGGGCATCTGGAAAGCCAGATTTGAAATATGAAATTTGTTTTATTATATATTTCATATTTTGTAAAGCATTTATGAGTTTTTATTATGAGCGCGAGACTGTGTATCGGAAATTCTAAAGATATGCCCTTTTAAATATTTTGCGATATTGCTGTCGGATTGAATTTTGTGGTTTAAGTGCGAAGAACATGTTATTTAATAAATGAATGGAACATACAAAATGTTACAAAACGCCCCTTTGGACGTAATATAAAATCTGCAAGCTTTTTTTTTTTTTTTTTTTTTTTTTTTTTTTGTTTGTCGTTGTTGTTGTTGTTAGAAGACATCTGTACATTAAGTCTGATGTTACTGTCGGACATAGCAGATAAATCACAACAACAGATCATTGAGCTTAAAAAATTGACTACTAAAAAACAAAAAGGTCGAACCGACTATGTCACGCGATTTCAGACTCAATGTCGTTGTTTCAGGTCTCTTGTAAAAATTGTTTTAATGCCATTTATAATTACATTTCTTCATTTCTAATTATGTTTGTTCTTCCATTGATAACAGTAACTTGTTTTTCCTTTGAATACTAATTTAATTTGCGTAATTGACTGAAAGCATTCTACGAATTAAATTTCTAAAAAATATAGCTAAATTCTTAACAGTATTTTTCTATTAATTATAAAACTTGTTCTTCTTTCCTGTGATTTTAACTGCTTTCTGATTGTCTGTAATTTGGTATTAAGTATGCTCGTTACGCTAGTATTATACTGTTTAATTGGTAGTCTATTGTAATTCTTAAATGCCTCAAAAGTATATTTTGCCTAATAAAAAAGAAAATATATTTTCAGCTATTACCATATTTGCAAGCAGAATGGCAGACGATCGTAATTTTTTGTGCTTATTTACCAAGCATTTCTCATTATAGAATTTAACTGATTTTTCATGCAGATATTCGGATAAGAATCCTGTCTTATCTGCCCTAAAATTATGTTTTGGCTCCTTAATTTTTCCGAATTTCTTTAAATATGCTGTCGTTTTTATTGATAACACTTATTTGGAATCACATTTTTATTTTCAGTGTAAATAATTTTTGTTATATCTTGTACTGAATACTTTTTCACTTACGGTTCGCTTGAAAATGGCTCACTATAATACTGTTGCAAATTCAAGAACCGTTCTCATCATGACCAAGAGCCAAATCTCCTTGGCCAAATTACCTTTCAAGAGCCAAGTCTCCCTGACCAAATTACTTTGTCTCAAATCGAAAATATCGACTTAAAAATAGCATCTTCAAAAGCTTTATAAACATATGTATATTGTTACTCATTTCATCTATAAAACACAATCTGTCAAAATCTGATCCCAATTTTTTAGGATACCTGATAAAATGTTCTGGAAATGTGAGAAATTTTAATGACGTATCCTTCTTCTGCGCATTTTATTCAACTAGCTTATTACAACAAATTATCAGTAACAAATTATCAACACAAACAAATTATCAGTATTTTTTATCTTTAAACACTTCTTTTTAGCTTTAAACTTACAACAAACAATAATGTATTACGATTACCGCGATAAATGGCATAAATATTGTCAGCAGAACAGTAGAAGTTACTCGTTCTAAAAGAGGGTAAGAAATTATCTTTCTAAAAGAGCACAAGCATTCTAACTAAATCGTGAATTAAATATGTTTCTGGCCATGTTGAAAAGAAGCGTACACAGAATTAGTTTGCAGTATTCACTTTACTAGCTATTCCCTCTTCGTAGAAAATTGAGGAGTCCAGGTTGGAAGAAACTGACATTAACAGTAGATAGACTACAATTCTATAAAATTCCTAATTTGTTTTCCCCCAATGGTGTACACTTGCCTATCACGGCATTGGCCACTACTAAGGCCAGTAGGGATGGCAATTTTATTTTGGAGGCAGCTAATGGGCGCCCACCGTTGCCATCCTATTGAAAGAACAGACAATTTTACATCCATGCCTTCTCCGGGATTCGAAACTGACCCTTTGGTATCGCAGTCAGGCTCCCTTAAACACTATACCGTCGCGGCGACATAAAATTCCTCAGAGAGACGATGAACTGACTCTCGTGCCTTTGTTATAATGATAAGAAGTCGTTTTCAGACCTCTTTCTTAGACACTGCAGTTTACCATTCCGTATAAATTGAAAGGTTACGTTTAAAACTATGAAAGGTGTTTGTTCACAGCTCAGCAATATATGCAAGTGAACTGCGCATATTGCTGTGCTGATTCCAACAAGAAACTCAAACAATTTTATCCAGATAGAAAAGTATGAAATTTCGTGCGAAATTTTGTAACGATTTTCGAAAAATTTCGTTCAGTAGAGAATGGACTTCATTATTATCGCAAAAGAATTGCTAGTCTCGAAACGTGATTTTCGTTTTTTCACTTTTCATTCGTGTCTTTTGCCATTTACAAAAACGTAAGATATTATTCGTTCAAATTTGATCGGTCTGTTATTAATTATTAAACTAAATTATTTAAAAGCAATAGATGCATATCTTAATAATTTTTTCACTTTTTAATCTGATTGAGTGAAATAAAAATGCATTTAATTCATGATATATCTAATTAAAATATTCCTTATTTTATAGCATTATATGTTTTTTTCACTTTTTAAATATAAAGAAGATATAGAACGTTTCCATATTAGTCTAAATGTATATTCATCTAAATCCTATAAAATGTTGCTATTCTACTTTGGTCATGCCTATTGATAATCTTCACTGATAAACAATATCAAACTTTAAAAACACCCTTTTGGGTGATCATTAAAATCTACACCCATTCTTTTATTTTTAAGCCCACAGAGCGTTAGCCCAAAAGGGCTATTAGTCTGAAAACTCCATTTTTCATTGAATCGCTTAAATGAAATGCATCACTTTTCCAACTGTTGCCACCAAATATTATCGTCCTGTGTTATATTTAAAGAAATTAAATAATTAAGAATATGCATGAATGTATGTATGATTCTCGCATTGTAATAAAACAAGGGTACCTAGACTCATCAAATATTGAATTCCTCCAGCCGAGCATGGGTAACTGGAAGTACGAATTCGCAATTTCGAATTTGTTTTATTATCTATTTCATATTCAATAAAACTTTAACGAATTTTTTATTAAAAACTCAACAATTTTAAAGCGAGCTGTGGTGACGCTGCAGGAAATAAAACATTTTTATCTCCAGCGCGCGAGACTGTCTATCGGAAATTTTGCAGATATATTTTTTTTAATATTTTAGCGCAAAATGGCTTATCACAAATGCTCTCGAAACGTGTATGGAGTGGGGGGGGCTGTTCATGTATGTGTCTTTTCAGGTTTATTATTAAGAAAAGCTTTATTCGCACTTATGCCACATACAATTGAACACAAAATCAAAAAACTTTTAAAAGGAGAGTATGTTTAGAATTTCCGATACAATGGCATACATTTTTTTTTCAGTGTTTTACCAGTTTATAATATCAATGTTCATTTTCCTTAGTGAGATGACTTACACAACTTCATGTTTTTAGTAACACTTTGCATGTTTTTAACTTTGTTTATTAAATATTACGTTGTTGCACTCCGTCACATAAAATCTCCGTCACATAATTTGTACAAAATATGAAACATAAAAAAAATTCGAAATCCAAAATTCGGCTTCGAGGTACACGTGCTCGAGTTGAGGATTACGTGTATCAAAACTTTTGTGGTTCTAGGCGCCATTTTTTTTCCATAATGCTAGGAATATATATACATGTGATGTACCAGCTTTTGTCCGCAATAAATAGATTGGTGAAGAATCATAGATGTAGTCGAATGCTCTAAGTATCAGACGATAAATTAAAAAAAAAAAAAAAAAAAAAAAACCAGGATCCATTTATTATTATTCAGGAGAAATAGCAGTTACAAAAAATCAGTTCGTCGAAGTAAATAAAAAAGAACTACTAATAACTTTTTGTGTGAAGTTTACCGCATCGTTACATTAAAGAAAAGACCCCGATATTTCTTTGCGAGTCCTTTTATAGCCTCTGGAAAGGCGGAGCTTCCAAGAAATGACGTCAGCCATTCCAGTTCGCTTTAAATATCTCCAGAACATTCTATAACTGTACGTGTAGAAAAGGCGGGAAAAACAACTTGACTACGGAGCTGTGGATTTAATTTCACGTACTTTCAAATAAGAGGCCGTCGCCATTAAAAAATGAAAAGAACATACAGTTAGAATTTTAAGTGTAATCTTGACTATGGAATTTTATTATTACATACATACATATTGATTCTTCATTATTTAATTTTTAAAAAAAAATTCGTCCAGTCATCGTCCAGATGTGCCGTTATGAAATCTAGGTAATATGGCTTTGTAAATGGACTTTGTTAACATTTCATTGAGAAAAGCACACTTACTATACTGAACAAAAGTGAAAATATTTATACGTCATCTGTTACCAACAGTGTTTGAGTATAACGATCATGTACTTTTCCGTTTAAGGAAATTAATAACTCCTCTTGAATGACAAATAAAGAGAAAAAAGTTTATTTTGCATTAAATATTTCAGCCACGTAAAATATGCACCTCCAATATTTCATGGACTGTGTGCTTATTATTGCACAATATCAATTAATGAAATATTCTAATCATTGCGCTGGCATCTGAAACAATAGATCAGCTATCTTATCTCACCTTTTTATCTCAATGTTATGCGCCGCCGAAGTCACAGATTGCACCTTTTAGAAAGCGGCTTGCATTCGTTTGCACCTCTCTAATTATGGAACCTTTAAGTTTGGAAAAATTATGCTTATCGTCTATAGTTAATAATTTTAACATTTTTAATTATGCATATTCTACGTCTGAGGATGCACCTCTCCTGAGAAATTTGCAATTTTTGCGTAAGTTTTTAATTTACCGTTCTAATTCAAAAAAGAAATCTATACAGTTTATTACCCATATAGTTTATAATCCATATAGTACTTAGATTAACTCAACTCAATTAAGTATTCTTATAATGAAAAATTACAAAAATTGTAACTTTGCAAAATAAATGTAAATAATTCGGATCTATGTTTAACGAGTACCTAGGAACAGGATGCATTCAAACCTTAACACTGCGTCATTGCTACCTTTAATCAGTCATTCTTGGAACTGATTAAAGGTAGCACGTAAAGCGTTATATTTTCACAATTGGAAAAACCTGAAGCTTTAAATTGATCCTCAAGACATTCTCATGAAACGGAAATAGAACATCTACAAGAAGAAAGAATTTTTTTACTTTTTCATACATCATATTTATTTAATTTTAAAGTAGATGCTGCATTGATATTTTTAAATGCAAGCTAATTTTAGTTTCCGTAAAATGGAAATTTGCTTAGCTGTGAAAGATCCGTAGCTGAAATCCTAGAAGGAGCGTAGCTGATGTTTCAAGTTTCCTAACTACGATAAATCTAACACTCTTTACATATCTATGATGTAGAATGAGATAACTCTTTACCATCTAGATTTGATCGAATGGGTCTCGCGCCTCTTCCCCATCACCCTTTAATTGGAAGAGGATAGAAGCAATTATTGCATTCCGTCATACGGTTTCTTCTACTGCATATAATTATCACGTACTGCAGCGATAGAAGAACCATAGTTCGAATCCTGGCGCAGAAACATTTGATTTTTTAATGTGTCTTCGCCATAATTTGAGCCATGGACCTAGTTCCGAAAAACTTTCTCGTGACTGAGTTTAAGAGTTTATCTTAAACGGTAAGAGTACTGTTTGAAAAATTCTGATGTGAATACAACATGGCTTCCTTGTACAGCCTGTTAAATATAGTTAGATAACTATTGTTAGATTAACTACACATAAAATATATTATTATATATGCAGCTAGATTTCGCTCTTTGTCTTAAATTAATTTTCTAAAATTTGGCATTGACAAGACATGAACAGTTTCGTCGTTTAAAACACTTCTCTAAGTGGGAGTATATGACTATGACCAACGATTGCGAAAGTAAAAGTCGGGGAAGAACTTTTAAGCCGGGTAAGAGGGTGGTATATGTATGTGTTTTTCATTTACTTTTACAAGCGAACGCGTCGGAAAATGAAACAGAGAAATTGAGACTAAAGTTTTTATCTAGGTTATTTTATCAGTTAAATATTCAAAAAGTTTCGTGTACAGTCTCGATTTTCTGTTTTGACGAAACGCGATATGGAATTAGCTGGATTTGAAAACCATTATGTATTTCCCCTGAAGAGACAATAATGAGATTCGAATTGGGCTAATTTACCATTTACCGCTTTTTTTTTGTATTTTTGCTTATGTCTTATATAACAATTGTATTTTTATTCAAATGTTAAAGCTTGTCTTAATTTTAATCAACGTATTACTTCCAGTTTGATTTGAGTTTTAAATACGCTTATTATTTGTAATATTATTCTAGTGAGGATTTCGTTTATATTGTATTTACACTTTTCATTGCACTTTATTTTAACTTATGGTAAAATATTTTTCAGAGGAACCACAGTATCACAATGACTTTTAAGCGCAAGCATGAAGAATTTTCTTTTTACCTTGTTTTCTAATTTTTGCAGCTCAGTGCGCAAAATTCTTGACCACAAAGGTCTTTTTCAGTTTGTTCTCCTTTCTTAAATTATATAAAAGGAGAGAGAGACATTTAATACTGCAGATCGCAATAAAGAAGATGCACAAGTAGATCTTGTAGCAGATCCATATATAAAATTTCAACGTTCTGCGACTTACTCTACGGTTTCGAGTAATGCGAGATACATACATACGTTTATACAGGCGTCGCGAAAAAATCCGTTTTGAAACCATTTTAAATCCATCTTATAACCCGTTTCGCAAAAAAGAGTCCCTTATTCTGCCGGTGCGTACAGATGTCAAGCAAAACAATCATCCAAACGGATTCGGGAAGCATAATTCACAAGTTCACATCAATATCGCCACTGAGGAAGGGGTTTCAAAAACGGACTAATGAGCTTCAATGAGCTTCTATGAGTTCATGTTTTTGTCTACGATTTATTTTGCATTTGTTTCCCAATTATAATGGCGTATAAATGCTGCTAAAATTTTAGTAAAAAATCGCGTAGTGGTTTTATTTTATATGTTTATTTAATCATCAACATTTCCCTTTCGCAAAACTTAACACGCACTCGGATTAATGTTCATGGCATATTAGCGATTTTTATATCTAGAAAATGACTCAAGCTACAATCAGCATCGACTATTATGCATTCACTAACTCCTGTGAATTAACAGAATTCAAGTACATAATTTTTTTACTAGGCTGTTAATAACTGGAAATGTTACAATGAATCTAGTATTTTCTTATCTCGATGCTTGCATTCCTTTAATTTTGAAATTGTAAGATTCCAAATATATATTGTGAATGATCTCATTATACCTATTCTTAGCATTAAAAGTTATAGTTGAATAAATTAAATATATTCGTTTTGAATAAGATAAATTCATTCTGTTTGAAGAGACAAGGCAATACTTTTAAGGGTGAACAGTTATTAATGTGAAATTTAACACACTAAATTTGTCGAAACGCAAATTGGGAAAGTTCACTTTGAATAACACTGTGCATTGGCTATTATTATAGAACATCTTTTTCATATAAACTGCAATAAAAAATGCTAAGACTTCTAACTATTTACATATATAATTACGCTTATATTTGATCTTATTTCGAACTGAAAATTTTCACAAGAAATTCACGAAGCTTTAGTTATTTTGTACAGGAATAAAATAACTAAAGTGCGTGGCAAAACATTTTTAGCCATCTTGCTTAAAGCACAGCAAAGCTCGTGTGAAATGAGTGAAATATTACTAGATGCCCATTGGTCCATTCTAGAAGCCACTGTCTCGGTGGCGATACAGATGTGTACTTTTGAAATATGCATTCGGGAAGAGTAAAAATTTATATTTTCGTTGAAATATGACACCCGAAGTTTTTCGCGATTTCAATGACTTCCTTTACTTCGTACAAGAAGGTAAAAAGCTTTTGTTATGAGACATAACTTTAGCAAAAACTATTTCTTCTTTCCTTTTTCTTTTAATGTCCATGTGACCTTTTTCTGGAACACTATTTGAATTGCTTAAATTGAATAGAGATAAAATCTGCATTAAATTTAATAAAACACAGAAGACGTTATATAATGTTTATATATATCTAATTTTGATGAATGATATGTTTTGAAGTAAACAGAAGATGGAGACCATTGACATTTTTTCTTTAATGATAAGCCAGTCGTATACCCTTTTTGAAATATCTTCTTTTCTTAGACATTTTTCACTTAAACTATGAACTTTATTTTCAAGCAAACTAACACACTTCATAAAATCGTAGCAGTTCACAACAGAAAAAAGCAAAAAAAAAAAAAAAAAAAGTATGAAAATATATGCATCTTATGAGAAAAGAGGGAAAACTTAAAGGTACAAAAAAAAAAAAAAAAAAATGTTGATGCATTAAACAGCATCAATTTTCTTGGATGAAAAGATGAGACAATACATTAAATATTCATGAAAGTTGTTGTAAATGCTGGAAGAAATCTGATTTGCAAGCGAATAGAGGGCTCTTAATTTTTCTCGTAGAGTGTATCATTATCGGATTGTGTTATACGCACTGATAATGAAGCCATCTTAATTGTGATAAAGGAAATTTGATGCCTTTTATTTAACTATCGAGAATTTTTATACCTTTCCAAGCATTAAAAAGCCATATTACAACATTTATTATACTAGTAGTAGCTAATAAAGCTGTTGTTAGCTTGCATTTTTTCTAAAAGGCTCAGTCAGCTGACTATCAACTTGCATCAAATTTTATTGAGCTGCCTAATTGGTATAAGGGTTTAGTGATACTGGCTGCCGTATCTTTAGGCTCGGACTCGAATTACGGAGATTTAGATGTATTAAGCGCATAGGTCACTTAAAATGTATTTTCCGCCTAATGTCCCGTCGAGTAGTTTTCTGGTAGAAGCGGAAGGGAGAGAGACTTTCGAATCTAGCTCTAAGAGGTTATCTTTCAGTATTCGGATAGAGCTGGATTAAATTGTACTTTCGCCTACAAGGTACCCAAGGCCCACACCAACGACGAATGCAATTCAACGCTCCTCGCCCCTACAAAATTTGTGCCCATGTTCTGATGTTACTATTAGTCAAATGAGGAAAGTCATAGAAACAAGAAAAAAATTTAAGTGAAATAAAACATGGCCTGTATACCATGATTCACAGGACCTTGAATATGAACAAACTTCAAAGAATATGAAAGAATATTGAAAGGAATATGAACAAGCTTCAAAGAGAACAAGGTTTTTATCTAAAATGTTTATAAATTGCACATAGGAATGAATGAAATGAAATTATGAGCTTTCAAAATGTTTCCCATTTGAGGAGACTAGGGATACAAGTCTCCAATCGAAGTTCCTGATAATTCCTTTGAATTAGTTCCTTGAAACTAAAATTAGCACGCTTTATATCGGTATTTTCTGTTCTTCTGTGATTTTTATTCAATCTTTGCAAACTTTGATAAAAAGGTGTCAACTGGTGATAAAGCCAGAGCTATACGAAAAGGCAAAGCAAGTCAAAAGGATTCAGCACACTTCTTGTGATGGCGTGATTTTCTTGATGACATCTGAGTAACTCCAGAATGTCGCCAGTTGAATGAGACAGAATATGCACATCCTCTTTGTGATCAGTTACGTATCCTGTTTATTCAAATTTGCCACTTAATGCATGTAATGTGCTTGGCGAAGGCTTTAGCTTAATAGTCAATGGTTCTAGACAACTTCCAGAAATTTTCGGCAGGTCTTTGGTCACAAGGATAAAGATCTCTAACTGAAAATAAACATGGTCAATCAACTGAATATCGATCCATTTCAGCACAGAAAAATTTCGCGTAAAAATAACCACAGACTCTATAACTAAGTTTTCTTAAATCCCTGCCCAAACTCGCAATAAACTAGCGATACTAGCTCCCTCAAATGGCAAGTTATTCAAATGATAGAACAGCGAGACCGACTAAAGCCCCCTCTGTGTTATAAAATTAGATATAAATTAAAGGAAAAATTTTCTTAATTAAGAATGAGATTAGAGTTTTAATTTAATATTACATTTTTATATATAAGAAGAAAGTGAAAGACCAAAATAACAGGTAACTTAATTTAAAAGGTGAATAAAGCTATTGTAAGATAAAGTAATTAATAAAGATTTACGTTTGCTTGAATAACTGAAGCGAAGTATATAATAATGCAAGTTTCTCTCATCGAGAGCCAATTTAGGAAACATTAAAATATGTAGACACAAGAAAAGTCAATAATAATGTATAAACATGCATGGCAGCATGGTATGAACATACAATGAATATGAATGGTATGGATGTATACACAGAAAGAAACCTGCTGCCAAAATGGGAAAAAATGCTAAATGCAAGATAAAATAGAATAACAAGAAAATTGCAAATGTATGAATGCTGAAGCAAAGCGGTAATATCACATGATAAATAGACCATATGCAGGGTTTTTCAAAAAGGCGTTGCCAGACATACCATATTGGCCTTTCATACTATGACAAGCAAGATTTATACAAGAACTAGTGTCCGAAAATGCAGACGGTGACCGCTAGAGGACAAAGTTCGGGGAGAAAGAAAGTAAGTCCAAAGAAGTGTTAATATCATTTTTATTAAAGAACATGGTTAAATCATAGATGTAAAAAATTCCTTCTATTCGCCACAATGCATACTTCACTACGTCGAAGCATGGATTCATGGCCCCGTTCAAAATGGGCAGGTGTGACACAGACTTTGCCGCCACTTCCATGATAGTGGGATAATGAGATATAATTGATCCCATGATAGTGGGATAATGAGATTGGATAATGAGATCCATGTCCGATGTTATGGTCGTTTCGTATACCATGGACTTGATACATCGCCACAAGTAGAAATCCAAGGGAATCAGGTCGGGGTATTGCGGCTGCTATGCGACTAGTCCGCCGCGCCATACAAGTAATGCCGTATCAGCCAGTTCTGAGTTAGTAAACCGATTCCTCCTTCTCCTGCAACGTCCTCGTCTGAAATGATCCCGCTTCCCATTTTCCTATAAGAATGCAAACATTGCCCTCTAGCTGTCGCATTTTCGGACATAAGCTCTTATGTAAATCTTGTTTATTATGGTATGACAGACTAGTATATTAAGTTTGGCAAACACCTTTTGAGACACCATGTATTTCACAAATTTTCCTTATCTTTGAAACAAAAGGGAAAAAAAAATTAGAAGCAATGGAAAAAAGAAGCCAATGAAGCTACATGTAGTTTCATCATTTAATGATTTTGTTTACTAATTATTATAGAAAAAGGAAATGAGAAAGTGAAAAGAATGGTCCAAATATGATCGCAGAAGTGGGTGCAAATTTGTTACTAAATTTATATAAAGATTATAATGTCCGCCTTCACAATAATAAATATTTGGTATATGCCGTAATAAAAATTTAATGCAAAAAATATTTGCTCTAAAACCTAACAGTTTCTTTCCTACGTTTTGCAGGCAATTTATTTTGAATGCCTAATATTTTTGTTACAAATCAATATTTATGTTGATAATACATTCATTGTCTTTTGTATTATTTAAGTGTTTGAAAAACTAATATTACTCTAAAACTATCTATGTTAAAAATTTAGCTCATTATAATGAACTAATCTGTTGAGACATTAGGATTTTTTTGGAAGCAGGCAAGATGAAAAATTAGCAACGCTTTCGGCGGGAATTGAACCGTGAACCTCTGAATTAAGCGCTGAGCGTGCAGACCACCACACCACGAAGGCATGCCAAGAAGGCGAGAGAAATACCTTATATACTCCCCCTTTTAAAGGGCGACTAGGGTTGGGTTTTTTTAGAGGACCCAATCGCCAAATCCTGGGTGAGGAGAATCATCATTCAGCACCCTTTTAGTTCGGTCGCCACTGTATAGACGTTAGGATTTTTTTGGAAGCAGGTAAGATGAAAAATTCGCAACGCGTTCGCCGAAAATCGAACCGCGGACCTCTGAATTACGCGCTGAGCGTGCAGATCACCACACCACGAAGGCATGCCAAGAAGGCGGGAGAAATACCTTATAAATTCATTTATATTATTTTATTAAAAGACGATGTTCTCAAGCAGACCGCATTTCGAAGACGATTACATCTCAATATGATCAGTATTTTTAGGAACATAAGTAACTATCGGCATTGAATGTAATCTCTGTAAGGAGACTACCTCCGCAGAAGAGCGAAATCGTCTGTCGATGGTTTTTTGCAAAGCGTTCATAAAATTGTTATATTTTGTAACTTGCTAATTAATGACTTACGTTATTAAAAATTTTTAGTCAGTCTTAGTCAAAATAATCATCTTTCTTGATCCATAGAGTTGTCATTAAGACTTCTGTGTTTATGCTTTTTCATTAAGAAAATATACTTTATAGTGCAAATGAACAGAAAACAGATTAGCGCTTGTCAGTGTGAAATGTTTCTATGTAAAAAATTCATATATTTAGTTCTCATTTTTCTATTATTTTCATTCATAAAAAAATTCATATATTTTAGTTCTCATTTTTCTGTTACAATTTCCTTTTCTGTTTTCCAGAGAAACGTTATTCAACTTATCTGATAGAAAACCTGAGTGAAACGAAAAATTTAAAATCAGAATATGTGAAATTTTTAGTAAACAAATACCTTAAGGAGTTTGATTTCTATAAATTCCTTTCTCTCACTTGTTGGGAAGAACTTACAGAAAGAGTTGTTGAAATTGCTGAGGTAAAATTTTCTTTTTTTCTATTCAGTTATATGTGTGTAAGTCATTATATAAATTTCTTATGTAGAAATATTTCAAATTTTCATTTTGGAAAATAAACTGAAAATTTTAACACGTATGAAGAAACATTTTACAAACATAAGTTTCCAAGCTAAGTGGAATAGCTGTACTTTCCACATCATCTAAGCGATACATGTTCTTGTAGTGCACCAATAATGTAAACAGGAAATCTTAAAGAATATGCTGCGTTCATCTAATATATCTAAAATAAAAACATTATTAAACCGTTGTAGAAAGATTTCAAATATTGTTCTTTTTAGTCCAAAGGGATTTGAATCCCGAAGGACTATTAGTTTCGTTTTGGCATTTTGCGTCGGACTCATAAATGTCGGTTCACTTTTCAAACTGTTGCCACAAAATGTTAGAGTCCTGCATTATATTTGAAGAAGTTAAATAATGAAAAATCTGCATAATGTATGTATATTCTCGTATTGTGATAAAACAACGGTACATAGAGTCATCGAATTTTGAATAACGTAATCCTCCAACGAATATGAGCATGTGGAAGACCAAATTTGAAATTTGAAATTTATTTTATGATCGATTTCCTATTTTTTAAAACTTTGACGAATTTTTTGATTAACAAACTCAAGGATTTCAAAGCGAGCAAATGGCAACGTTGTGGCAGAAAAAACATTTTTATCTCCAGTGCGTGAGTCTCTGTATCGGAAATTCTAAAGATATGCTCGTTTTTAAAAAACTATTTTGCGATATTGCTGTTGCACTGGATCTTATCTTATGGTTTTAAGTGCGAGGAACATGATATTTTAATAAAGAAAGGTAACACACAAAATGTTAAAAAACGCCCCTTTGGACGTAATTTAAAATCTGAAACATTTCAGATTTTTATTTATTTATTTATTTATTTATTTTTGTAGAAACTGTAAAATGCCATTGACAGTTTTAAAAAAAAAGCACTCATTAATTTCTCTTATCTGACATCCATTACTTTTAAATTTCAACATCTAAAAATGTATCTGTTGTAAGTTTGGAACGCCTTCTTTGAATGTTGAAAGTGAGTTTCTTCAATCAACGCTGACTGCTGACTTCACGAATGTTCGCATGTATCCAGAATTGTACGCAAAACTTTCCATAGTCATATTACCGATATTATATTGCCGATATTTCGCAGTAGTAAAGTTATAAAGGTAGTAATATTTCCAGGCATTTTCCTTTCCGTTGGGCACCAGTTTTAGGGTTCACTTCTTGATAAACCGTAACCGTGGACAATGCTGAGATTGTCAATTTACTTATCGCCCGTCTATGTAAATAATAACTGAGTCAGAAGAAAGTTTAAACAAACAGTTTTGTTTAAGCTTTAATTTTAAAATTCACGAAACCTTTGTTTACAAATAAATCACTCGCCCGGCAGTTGCTCTTTCATAAATTTTGCCTAGAGCTGGCAAGATGTTGATCGGGCAATATGAGCCCGATCAACATCCTAAGGGTCCTGGTCTTGTTTGAAAAATAGAATAATTTGCCCTGTTTTTGAAAGTGTCTGGGAAGACCTTGAGTGAAAGTCATTTATTGAAGAGGGAAATTAGAATTTCTGTCATGTTTCTAAAGATTGCCTGCAAGATTTTATTACATATACCATCTAGGCCTGAGGCTTTGCCTTTGGGGAGTTTGTGGATGATGTTTCTAATCTCTGCTCTCTTAAATTTTATGTCGTCTTTAGAGACAAGAAATGAGTAGTTCATTCGAATTTTCTTTTGATCGTCGGTGCCTTCTTCTTGCATATTTTTGAGAAAGACTGTATTTAGGATAGTGTTCAATTCATACTCTGTAATACTGGAACTACTTTGGGGGTTGGAATCGCTGGAAGCCGTGAGTTGGATTTGACATGTCTTGAAGACATTTTTGAAGCAAAAGCGTAGATAATATCAGAGATAATGAATTAATTAGCGCAGATCAGATCACAAATAATGAGTTAATTAAACGATAATCCTTGCAAGGACAGTGTCATCACGTAATCTACTGGCATTCAGCTTCGCTACACAGAAATACAAAACTTTTATTTCTATTCTTTCGAAATATGTGGAAATGAGTTAAAAGGAGTACCTATGATTCTAATTTCAAAGATCATACTAGTAGCTGGATAAAGATTTTGGATATGGAAGGTTGAGAAGACATCTGACGGATTGATTGAAAATAGCGTTTTATTGGGAAAATGGAAGCAAGAATATTAAGAACCTGGAAATTGTTCAAAGACACTGAGGATGTATACAGACAACTAGCCGAAAATCTAAAACTTACCACAACAGGCCCTCAGGAGCATTACTTGGAAAACGACTGCTAAAGAAATACGCAGCTGATGTCAGCCCAGATCCCAAGAGAACAGAATGCAGTTAGGGAAACTCGATTACTCAAGTATACCTTAGCTGCATAAAATGTTAGCTATGTATAAGGAAACTCATAATTTATGACCACTAGCTCAAGTAAAATGCGCCCGATTGCAGTGGTACAGAGACCATTGCGGTTGGAGTTCTATCGACTGGAACGGAGATGTCTTTGCTGATAAGTTTCGACTTTATTTTGAGAGTGACCTATAACGATCTGGAGGGGGCAAAACAAAACAAAAAAAACAAAAAAAAAAATTAAGCCTTAAAATATCCATGAAAATCATTGGTATAAAGACGGTAGATTTGTGGTGTGAGCTGATATCATCTGAATGGCCGCACTGACCAATTTATTTTTACCAGTGCAATTATGAATGCTGAAATGTAAAGAGATGAGATGCTTGAGCATTATGTCAAAATGGGATATAACCGGTAATAACTTCCTCATAATGGACTATAAGTATTGTTCCCGTCATGTTTACAAGTAACTGATTGCACTTAGAGTGAAGAAATCCAGCGAATATAATAGCCAATTTGTTCTCCAGATATAGGTCCGCTAGAACATGCATAGGATGCCCTAGGACAGGGTTTCTTAAACTTTTTGATGTGGGGTCTTCCTAATATTTATGATAATTTTGTGGGACCTCATAAGCATTGCGCAAATCCGACACACGCGTGAGTGAAACTATCAGTTTCTTCACTTGTACTGTACAGTATTGCAGTTTTAGGCCACTGACTTTAATTTTTAAAGTAAAATGAACGTTTCTATTATAAAAAAATGCGTCGAAACATTTTCGTTTCTTCTATGTCTGTACTGTTTTATCCTTATCTATTTTCAGATACGTTATGTAAAAATATTTCGTAATTATAAAATTATTATAATAAGTTAAAAAAATACGAAAATTGCTAAATTTTTGTAACACACGCCTTATTAATTTTTTATGTATCTCTATTAAATATCTAACATTAAATTTTCCCTATCCTACTTTTTGTCACATTTCCATATCTTATTATTTAAATTTATTTTTTGAAGAAATAGGCAATTCTATATCTTTAAGGTAAGCTAGGCATGGCAAAATAAAGTTACAATGCAAGTTACTTATTCTTAGCTGAAAAACGTTACATGACATTTTACAGTTGTTCTTTAATTCTTTCTCGCCAGTGTATATGATATGGTGTTAGAAATAAACATTGTGGTCAATACTTAAACTGCATCGAAAATTTTCAAACCACTCTTTTTTCCCGTAATGGATACAATACACCTTTGAACAACAAATTAAAAATCTGCTCAAAATTAAAAACACTCGGAAACTTAACAATTTCCCCAAAAGATAATAATTTTTTTAAAAAGGGAAAAAAGCTGATGAAATTGGAAGATTTTGCACTGCAGTAACATAGTGTAACAAACGTACCGAAATTCAAAACATTGATTGATGTTTGTAATTAAGACACAATAAGACGCCGAATAAATACTAATTCAGACGTCAAAACAACAAAAATCAGCGTTATATTTACAAAATTTTCACAGGACTAGTTTCGAAGGTTTTACCGAACCACCATCTTCAGCTGCAAAACCGCAAATGAACCAGATAGGAAATAATGATTAGATAAGATAAGAAAACCTGGACAAGAATAAGCAAGTGGCGCCATCTGTTAGTGAAACCAGAACTAAACCATAATTTCTTTAAAGGCCGAAGGCAAATTTGGATTGGAATTAGGATCGTTAACTAGAACAGAAAGATTTTTATGAATGTGAAATGCCTCTAGAAAATCCAGTTCTCCAATGGAAGATGTTTTTTGAATAATTTTAGCAGCAGAAAAAATTTCATTTCTCTTGCATCGAAATTGATGAGCTAATTTCTCTCACTCAACTCTGTTTGAAACAAACACATTTTGTTTTCCAAAATAAATATTAAAAGCAAACTGAGGGATTAGCCATGGGAAGCCCCCTCAGTCCCATCTTGGCTGATATCTACATGCATTATTATGAATCAAAATTGTTTGAAACTTTAAACTTCCCGGCATGGTTCCGCTACGTAGACGATATTTTACTCTGTTTGAAGGTAATAAAGATGATTTAAATAAAGTTCTTTCAACAATGAATTCTATTGATCCTGCTATTCCGTTCACTTTTGAACTTGAGACTTTCAATTCTCTTCCGTTTCTCGACATTCTGGTCACACGTAACACATCCAACTTCAGTACTACGGTTTATCGTAAACCTTCTTCGGTTTGCCTTCCACCACACTTTAAATCATGTCATCCGACTAAACAAAAGTTAGCTTCATTTTATTCCTATGTTTTCCGTGCTCTTCAAGTTTGCTCCTCCAAACTAGCCCTTGATGAAGAACTAAATTATTTAAAAGCAATAGCTATTGACAGGGGCTTTCCACCCAACATTATTAATCAAGCAGTTAAAAAATTCTCATCTCAACACACTAAAAGGCACACTCTTGTTTTAGGAGATTATAAAAATTCTGTTGTCATTCCCTTCTTTCCATCAATTAGCTATAAAGTTGCACATATTTTGCAGAAATTTAACTTTCGGGTTGTTTATTCTCCCATCAATAAAATTCCGAGTTCCATACTCAAGGACCCCATTCCGGATATGAATTCCTGGGGTATTTATAGGATTCCTTGCCAGTGTGGTTTAATTTACATTGGCCAAACTAAGAGAGCCTTAAAATTTCGCGTCAAGGAACATGAGGCATATATTAGAAAAAAGGAAACACAGAAGTCTTCTGTTGCTCAACATTGTTGGTCCCAAAACCTCACTTTCAGTTTTTCTGCTGCTAAAATTATTCAAAAAACATCTTCCATTGGAGAACTGGATTTTCTAGAGGCATTTCACATTCATAAAAATCTTTCTGTTCTAGTTAACGATCCTAATTCCAATCCAAATTTGCCTTCGGCCTTTAAAGAAATTATGTTTTAGTTCTGGTTTCACCAACAGATGGCGCCACTTGCTTATTCTTGTCCAGGTTTTCTTATCTTATCTAATCATTATTTCCTATCTGTTCATTTGCGGTTTTGCAGCTGAAGATGGTGGTTCGGTAAAACCATCGAAACTAGTCCTGTGAAAATTTCGTAAATATAACGCTAATTTTTGTTGTTTGACTTCTGAATTAGTATGATGTTTGTAAGTTCAAAACATATTTTAAGTTCTGACATTATTTTCATAAAATACAGTTCTTTCTTTTCGGATTTTTTTTTAAATCCAAAGTTGGCTGAAAACCCCAAAAGCGCCGAGTTCCGGTATTTTATTGTACATCTGATTCAAATTCATTAGTATTGATGCCTGATGAAGGATTACTAATGAATCGTTATACGTTACTAATACAAGAATTTCTTCAGCGTTTAATGAAGTTAATATTGGCGCTGGATTTGAAAGTAGAGCCACTTTCGCTGAAAAGAGCAAAGTTCAAAGCAAATTTTGCGACCAAAACTTCGTGTAGAAACGGTCTTCTATAAGGATGAGAAAGTTTCATGGGCTGTACCTGCCTCGTTAAAAAGTTTGGGTTGTACTTATATGATCAAGAAAGCTTTAAATGTACTAGTGGCTAAAATGATAATTCCATTTCACCTCACCGTAAAGGATACAGTTCAAAATACATGCCTTTCTTTTATTCTCTGTATCTTGTTTTTACTATTAATTTACTCCCGTTTGATACGTTTCATTGCTATATTTAATTTTTGTTACATTTTATTTTTAATTTTATTATTTACTTGTCATTCCTTTCATTATTTCATTTTTGTTTATTTTATTTTAAATAATTATTTATTTAATTATCATGATTTATTTAATTGTTATTAATTATTAATATTTTTGTCTCTGCATTTTATCTTATTTTATTTACTTAATTTTATCCATGTTTCCTGGTATCCTAGGCTAGGACTTCTAATTTTAGAAACTAAGTTCTATCAGCAACCACATTTAAGAACTAAGTTTATAATTTACATTTTTTTTTTAATATCCTGCCCATTTCTAAAAACAATATCATTTAACTCTCATGTAAAAAGAAAGTATTTGTTAAAAAAAGCAAAATTTAACAACTCCATAACGCTGTAAAAGTTTTTAAATTTTTTATAACTGAAAAAAATAGTTAGAATAAACCTCATTTTATTATGTAATAGAAAAATTATTTAATAGAAATGATTGCGTTCTATATGTATTTAATAACTGATACTCATGAGTATCACTATATTTTAAACAGCTGTGCTGAGTCTGTGAAATATTCATAAAATTTGATCTATCTTTTACATTTGCTATTGAAATCTTTTAATGCACTGTAAGGTACCTCACTTTGGAATTCTAAGTTAATGTTGGAAGTGAGGAACCTAGGAACTGATAAGCGAATAATCGCTAGAGTTCGAAGACAGGAAACGACAAGAGAGAAAGGTAAATAACCCTTTATTATTTCGATAAGATTTAACAAAACTCCGCCTGGGAGTGTACAAATAAAGTCCGCACTTTGGACTTGAACTTAAAAGACTAAGAATTAAACTAAAACTAAGATTACCTAAGTATAGCCAAAGCTATCAAGGTTCAATGAGAGTTGGCCCCTTAACTTATTTTACTACGAAGCTTAGCAAGGGCCTGAGTCGTCACCATCGAGATAGATAAGGCCTGCGCTCTGAAACGAAACTGGCTTGTGACGTCACGGTTAAGAGACCCTCAGCAAACTTTTTGTTGGCTTTTATAAGTTGTAATTTTTTATTCATTATGTTTTAAGAATTGAATTTATGTTTACTTTTGACATCTGAAGCATCATCCCTTGTAATAATTACTAACACTAGTAATATAAAAATTGTCAGCAAAATTTATGATTATTTATTTTAATTGGAAACTAATTTTATATGAAATAACTGTCCTAAGGGGTTAAAAGCATAACACTTATTTCATTACATAATATGTAGAATATCAAATGCAGAGTAAATTTGATTCTTGACAGAGTACTGTGTTCTTAAATTTAAATATCAATGTTTTTTTGCAAATCATTAAATATCATTTTATCATGATGAAACTTAAATGCATATGTTTAGCTAATATAGCTTCTGTTCACTTTTATGTATGTTATTATCATGCAATCAGTTTGTTTAAAATTTGTTATGCAATATAAATCTTTCTGAGAATGATAGAAAAGTTTCTAAAGCAATGTAGGTAAGATTCATATTAAGGTAATTAAATTGCGAGACTGCAAAATGAAATTTTAAAAATGTACAGTTATTGAAGGCAGTAGTAAAAAAAATATTTTCAGAACAGAGGTAACGCTTATAGTTAAATAGGTATGATGTAAATATTTGCAAGAAATTTCAGTTTCTAAAAGTTTTTTAAGTATTTCGTATATTTTTAAAATATTTTCAAAAAAAAAATTGTGTATAACTTTATTTAAAAATTTTTTTTCCTGTCTTATTTGGAATTTTAATATTGATAGTCTCCAGAGCTATGTAATAAACATTATCTCAATTAACTACAGATTCTTGCCGAATAATTATGTAGCATTAAGAGGAAAACATTAACTGTAATACAGATTAACATACAATATGTAAGTAAGAAATAATTTTAAGACTAGACTATTTAGTAATTTATTACATTCAGAAAAATGTTCTGACTGATATAAGGCATTTAAATGTTAGTCTAAATATTAAGTAGTCTCTTGCATTCGTTTGATGTTTTATAATCCTGCTACATTAATATGATAGATATAAAAAATATGCAATAATTATAGAATGAGAGATAACATGTGTTCCCACTGGCAAACATTTTGTTAAAGTAGTGGGTGAAACAAAAAAAATTTGATGCGGTGATGAGAATCAACGAGAGACACAAAGACAGTGCAGAAAAATCAAAGTAAAAATTTTAGCTACTTGAATTTTAAAACCAATTTTTCTTCAAAGAAATGATTTGCTTTTAAAAGCACCACACCATTCTCAAATAATTTTGTTTTGAAAATAAATACCAACAAAAGAAAATGAAAATATTTCATATTCGTATAAGCTTTGTAAAACATTATATTGCCGCTTGTAATTTTGTTTTAGACTGATTTTATAGTATGAGATACCAATTTCATAGAATAGGTTTAGGAAAACGGGTGTTTAGCAAGGAAGCTAAACTGCGCGAAGACCGGTCCCCTAGCAGTGACGTAGTAACCCAGCGCGCAGGCCTTATCTATCTCGATGGTGACGCCTGAGTACGGCCGAGCGTAAAAATAGCTTTGAGAGAGAGAGCGGCCAAAAACGCAGACGCGCGTAGTTGAGAATGTTTCTCTCTCTGTCTCAATAAGTAACTTCGTGGTTTAAATACCGCTCCTTCTCATTAAATATTCAGCAAATTCCAAAACTACGTTCTGGCCGGAAGTAGTAAGTTGAAGTTAAGAATTTGACAGGAAAGGAACTTTAACTTAAAAAACTGTTAATAAAATTAACATAATTCTTACAGCATATTGAATCATCATTAACGTCATTAATTTTTTTAAATAAATTATATAATTAGGTAACTTTTATAAGCTTTATAGATTTACAACTAGGCGCAAGGCCTGATTAAGCAGTTTGTGTCCCAAGGTCTTAGCATTCTTTGGGGGGGGGGGGGGGGGTGGAAACCGAGTTATGTGAAATTAAAGGGATTATTTTGGAGCCCGTAAATATGGGATCTTAGACATGCACCTTGCGCTCCTAAGCGGTTACTAAACCTTCAGCAGACTTTAATTAACACCTAACCTCGCAAATCTTGGAGTCTAAGATCGCAAGTTTTAGACTTCAAAATTTGAAAAGAATATATAATAATATTGAGAAAACTGCAATGCTTTTGTTTCCACACTTAACGAAGAAGCTAACAACAGAAAGCTCTGAAAGAATGCTATGCTCCAGGCTATGTACATTTGACTAGGATCTTATAAGCAAAGTTGTTACTTCAAGTACTGATTTTATATTTTTCCATTTTTCTTCTTTAGGGTCTTTTGAAAGTAAAGTTTGGTGCAAGAATGTTCAAGGAACATCGAAAAAAAGTGCAGGAAATTATAGAACGATTGCAAAATGTGGAATGCCTCTGTCTGTATATACCATTTGAATATGATGGAATTATGGAATACATTTCCAAATGTTGTCCATATCTGAAAGAACTGGACCTCCAACATAATGATTACATTAGTGATAAATCACTCAGAACTCTTTGTAGCGTTGGATTTCCCAGCCTTCGTGTGTTGCGTTTAGATAACGTTAAGATTCGAGATGAAACCATCATATTCATTCTAAAAAACATGCCGTTTCTTGAAGTTTTTAATACTCCTTATTTGACACGGGCTTTGTATTGTTTTCATAAGAAAGATCTCGCTGAAAACAAATTACATGCAGTTCAAAAATATTCATTAACTGAGCTTGCAGTCCATTATGCTGGACGTGAACAGGAAAAGTGTCTAAGTATATTAACTGTTCTATGCCCAGAAATAAAAAAACTGTATTGTCCTGTAGATAACAAAGTATCTATAGATTTATGCTCTAAATTTCTGAAATTAGAAGAATTGGAATTGATCAGTATTCATGACCGCAATTCCAAAAAGTTACTTAGTTCTAGTGGCGTCAATCCCTATCAATTAAACCCAATGAAATTAAACAAATTTTTAAAAATCCGAGGAAAAAATTTAACTTCATTGTTTATTCATGGTCTGGCAGTTTCTACTTCACTTTTGATACAAAATTGCCAGAAATTAGAAAAGCTTAATCTGAGCGAAATTGACTTTCATTATGAGAAAAATTCTTGTGTCCCTCCTTTGAAGTATTTGAAATTATTGCGTATTAGTACTGATACTGATAGTTCCTATATTATTTCTCCCACTGCAGCGGAATCTTTGAGTCTGATATTGGATTCCAGCCCAAATATAGAACGACTATACATAAACTGTTTGAAAATATTATCTGATTTTCAACTGCGTAATACAATTTTGAAGCATTGTGAACTAAATACTCTAAAATATTTAGACTTCAGTTGGTCAGATGTTGATGTGAATTTTTCAGCGTTAATTCTAAAGTCGTGTTTATCACTTCAAAAAATGGAAGTAACCCTAAGTAATGGTAAAGGTGTATCTTCAGAGGAATTTGAAATATTGGCTCAAATAGCATCTGATACTAAAAATTCACCTAAAATTCAGTGGTATGATATTGATAAGAATATTTTGAAACAGTCATGGATCATGTGATTCTATTGAAAGAAAAGATGATGAATTTTATAAAAAAATCTAATGAAATCTTTTGAATTTTAAAATCATGTTCTTTTACCAATATTTTGCTTTATATATTATGTGTTTAAATGGAATATTAAAGATTTGTTTTAAATTAAAAGTTCTTTTATGCTTAAAATTGCTTAGAAAAGTCTTTTCTTGCATGTAGTCAATTTTCAGTTTACTGTGGTAATACCAGAGACGACGACGTCTGCAATTAATTCAAAAAGATGGTTAAGAAAGGGCGGTTAAGATATACAGGAAAGAGCAATAACCTATAACTCGCAAAAATGTTGTTAACAAACTACTTCAATTTCCAAGCAATTTTATCTGAAGAATAAATTATTCTAATGGAGTCTAAAACAGCGATTCTCAACTGGTGGTACGCAAAGAAACAAAGTATTTTTAACTATTAGATTTAAAAAAAAAAAAAAAAAAAAAAAAAAATACCCCAAAATCCTATTTAAGTTTTTTTTTCCTAACACTCGTATTAATGCGATCTGAGTTTTATTCAAAGTCAATAGCCCCTCGTAGACTTCCAACAAAAAAAAACCGTTTTTATCCTCACAAATATTCTTTTAGCCATAACGTCACAAATGATGTTTTTAAAAGGAATAATGGAAATGGATGTTGTGTTTAATAGGAATAAAATAAGTTCTTTTATAAAAAGATAATAGTATCTTATAAATTCTTTCAGAGTAGATCGATTTATTAACATATCTGAATTTCATTCGTCACCATTTCCGTTTCAATTAGAATCATTTTTTACGTCGATCTGCTGTCTCTAAAAGCAGGTGTTTTGTCTTTTTATTGCTTTGCATTTCTTACTTTTCTATAATAATAGTATCTCATAAATTCTTTTAGAGTAGATCGATTTATTAACATATCTGAATTTCATTCGTCACCATTTCCGTTTCAATTAGAATCATTTTTTACGTCGCTCTGCTGTCTCTAAAAGCAGGTGTTTTGCCTTTTTATTGCTTTGCATTTCTTACTTTTCTATAATAATAGTATCTCATAAATTCTTTTAGAGTAGATCGATTTACTAACATATCTGAATTTCATTCGTCACCATTTCCGTTTCAATTAGAATCATTTTTTACGTCGCTCTGCTGTCTCTAAAGCAGGTGTTTTGCCTTTTTATTGCTTTGCATTTCTTACTTTTCTATAATAATAGTATCTCATAAATTCTTTTAGAGTAGATCGATTTACTAACATATCTGAATTTCATTCGTCACCATTTCCGTTTTCAATTAGAATCATTTTTACGTCGATCTGCTGTCTCTAAAAGCAGGTGTTTTGTCTTTTTATTGCTTTGCATTTCTTACTTTTCTATAATAATAGTATCTCATAATTTCTTTTAGAGTAGATCGATTTACTAAAATATCTGAATTTCATTCGTCACCATTTCCGTTTCAATTACAATCATTTTTTACGTCGACCTGCTGTCTCTAAAAGCAGGTGTTTTGACTTTTTGTTGCTTTGCATTTCTTACTTTTCTATAATAATAGTATCTCATAAATTCTTTTAGAGTAGATCGATTTTAACATACCTGAATTTCATTCGTCACCATTTCCGTTTCAATTAGAATCATTTTTTTTACGTCGATCTGCTGTCTCTAAAAGCAGGGTTTTGTCTTCTTTTTGTTGCTTTGCATTCTTACTTTTCTATAATAATAGTATCTCATAAATTCTTTTAGAGTAGATCGATTTACTAACATATCTGAATTTCATTCGTCACCATTTCCGTTTCAATTAGAATCATTTTTTACGTCGATCTGCTGTCTCTAAAAGCAGGTGTTTTGTCTTTTTATTGCTTTGCATTTCTTACTTTTCTATAATAATAGTATCTCATAAATTCTTTTAGAGTAGATCGATTTACTAACATATCTGAATTTCATTCGTCACCATTTCCGTTTCAATTTACAATCATTTTTACGTCGACTGCTGTCTCTAAAAGCAGGTGTTTTGACTTTTGTTGCTTTGCATTTCTTACTTTTCTATAATAATAGTATCTCATAAATTCTTTAGAGTAGATCGATTTATTAACATGTCTGCGCTTCACGTCGTCATCATTATCTTGCTCGTATTTTCAACTAGAATCATTTTTACGTCGATTCTGCTGTCTCTAAAAGCAGGTATTATTTGTCTTTTTGTTGCTTTGCATTTCTTTACTTTTCTACGCGATTTGAGAATATCGTCTTTATTTGTTTTGAAAGAACTCGTAATATATTGTGCAATTAATTATTTAAATATATGTGAAATAAATAATAAAACAAACCTAGATTTTCAAAATGGAAAATGGTTAGGATTGACTAAGCGCAAAAGCGATGATTCACAGGTGATTGATCCAGGCTAATCTACTAGCACTATGAATTTTGAAAAGAAAAGGAAAATTGTTCATAGAGAACATAAAGAAAGTTATTCATCATTTGGGTTTACCTGAAATGGGAATGAAATGAACCCGCAACCTCAGTGTGTTGTTGGTGATGAACTATTATCCAATCAAACTATGAAACTGTGTTGAATCTAAACATGCCAATTTAAAGGATAAATTTGAAGAATATTTTAAGAGGAAATTATGGGAGTTCAAAAAATAGTAAATAAGTAATGAAAGGTTCTGTTACTTCAAGTGAAAACGCTTTGGAAGCTAGTTACCTAGTAAGCCTAAGAATTGCCAAGACTGAGCAGGCTTACACTATTGGAGAAAACCTTATACCGGCAACTAAAAATATGTTTTTGAAATTATTCAACGAAAAAGCGGCTAATCAACTTAATAATATTCCGTTATCAAATGATACAGTAAGTCGACGAATTAATTGAATGGGAAATTCTATAAAAGAGACTTACTAAAAAAATAAAACACAGTGAGTATTTTGCATTGCAACTGGATATTACAAGTACTGGATATAACAAACTTTGTTCAATTATTAGTTTACATACGCTTCGAAGAAGATAAACGAATTCCCAAAGAGTATTTACACGGGTTGGACAAAAATATGGAAACACCTTTAAAAAAACATGTTTCTTTGCTTAATATGGTGTAGGAAACCCGTTGGCATCCAAAACAGCTTGCAGTCTTCTCGGAATGGATAAATACAGTTCCTGTATGTTTGCCAAGGGAATATTATACCATTCTTCCTGCAAAACGGTGGCAAGTTCAGATAACGATGTTGGCGGTGGATAACGAGAACGCACTTTCCGTTCCAATGCAGACCACAAAGGTTCGATAATATTCAGGTCTGGTGACTGTGGTGAGATGGGACAACTCATCCTCGTACTCAGAAAACCAGTCCTGGACAACGTGAGCTGTGTGAACAGGGGCTTTGTCGTCTTGGAAGACACCATCACCATCGGGGAAGAAAGTTTGTACCATGGGATGAACTTGATCGGCCAAAATGTTCACATAAGTCTTGGCAGTCATGTGCCCTGACACAGTTATCATGGGGCTAGCAGAGAACCACGATATGGCTGCCCAAACCATAACAGAACCCCCGCCAATGTTTCACTCTTGGCAACAAGCAGTCTGTATTATAGGCTTGAGATGGCGTTCTCCAGACGTAAACTCGGCCAGAAGTGGGGGAAACAATGTGAAAGAAGACTCGTCAGACCATATTACTCGCTTCCACTGCTCTATAGTCCAGGCTTTATGACTTAAAACACCACCTTTTCCTGTTACGCGCATTAGCATCACTGATGAGTGGCTTCTCAATTGCAGCACGGCCAGCAATTCCCTGTTTATGAAGCTCCCTTCTAATTGTTTTGGTACTCACAGGGTTCGGTAACACAACATTCATTTCAGCAGTAACTTTTGCAGCTGTGGTCTTCTTATTTTTCGTCACAATTGCCCTTAATGATCGTCTGTCACGATCACTCAGGACACACTTTCGTCCGCGCTGTGATTTAGCAGATGATGTGTTTTTTCGCTTTTCAAATATGCGGAATAAATCTTCGATACAGTACCTCTTGAAACACACTAAACACTCGGCTACCTTGCTTACGGAAGCACCTACCATACGTGCTCCAACAATTTGTCCACGTTCGAAGTCTGTTAACTCTGACATAATGCAATGACAACCTCGCATAACAGTACTCCGACAACAACTGAACTGTTTAGCACATTTACGAAGTTGTATAGGTGGCGTTAGTAGTCAAAAACGCCAGCGCCACCCACAGATTTCATTAAAATCAATCTTTCTTTTCAAACATGCATTTCACAAAGTGTTTCCATATTTTTGTCCATCCACTGTATTTTGTGAATTTCTTCATGATAGAGCAACTGCAACTGAAATTTTCAACGTAATTGACAATTTTATGTCTGGGAATGATATTCCTGTGAATAAGTGCATTGTCATATGCAGTGACGGAGCTGGGACTTTTACAGAAAAACATTCCCGTGTTATTTTTCAAATAAAGGAAGTCGCACTTGAAACTAAATTTATCCACTGCTTCATTCATCGCGAAGCTTTAGTAGCCAAAACAGTCCCCAAAAATCTGAAAATCGTTTTGGAATCGAGGTGTGAAAATTGTTACTTTTATTAAAAGCCGAGCTTTAAATTCAAGAATATTTACGATTTTATGCTAAGAGACGGGTAGAGAACATGAAACGCTTTTGTTATATTCCGAAGTAAGGTGGTTATCCAGAGACAAAGTTTTAAATCGCTTTTGTGAACTTCGATCAGAAATTCAAACTTTTCTTTGTGATTCAAAATTTGAATTTAATAAATGTTTATTTAATGAATCGTGGTTGGCGCGTTTAGCTATTTAGCTGATACTTTTGGAAAGTTAAATTAATTAAATTTAGTATTACAAGGACAAAGTGTTATTTTTTTTTACTATTAGAGATAAAATAAATGCAATAAGAAAACTCGGCCTACGAATCAAAGAATTGGATAGTAACATTTTAAGCTTTTTACCACTTTTAGAAGGTTTCTAACCGAAACTAATTTAAAAATTAAAAAAAAAAAAAAAAAAAAAGAATAGAATTAGTATCTGACATCATTGTTTTTTTTATTGATAAATAATTTCAACATCTATTTTCCAGGGATTTATGGAAAAGAAAATTGGATTAGAAATTCATTTTGTTCAAATATACCTGAAATTTTATCTCGTGAAGGAAAAGAAGAATGATAGATATTTC